GTGGCTCCTTTATGTCACACAGACGTCTGTCGGTCCGTGCTGGGCCTCCATGACGATGCTTGGTCAGCATTTCTGCTTGGCCGGAGTTTCTGCTTGGCCACCCTTCCAGCATCGCCTGGAGGTCAGAAGTGGATAAGATGGAAATTATTCTCCCTGCCCTCAGGGGTCTTCTTCCAGTCTGTCTCCTGGATTCGTCATCCCAACTTTTTTGTCCATGGTGGTGGTTTCCTTTTCCTTTTCTTCTTCCTTTTGTTCCTTTGTATTTTTTCCTTCTCTTGTTCGTTAGTCTTTTTTAGTTTACTTTAGGGTTATTTATTTATAATTTAGGTTTTTAAGCAGATAGCAGATATACAGTATGTGGTTCACATGTACAGTGGGGCAAAAAAGTATTTAGTCAGCCACCAATTGTGCAAGTTCTCCCACTTAAAAAACTTTTGATATTGACCAAATACTTATTTTCCACCATGATTTGCAAATAAATTCTTTAAAAATCAGACAATGTGATTTTCTGGATTTTTCCCCCCATTTTGTCTCTCATAGTTGAGGTATACCTATGATGGAAATTACAGGCCTCTCTCATCTAACTTTTGATATTGACCAAATACTTATTTTCCACCATGATTTGCAAATAAATTCTTTAAAAATCAGACAATGTGATTTTCTGGATTTTTCCCCCCATTTTGTCTCTCATAGTTGAGGTATACCTATGATGGAAATTACAGGCCTCTCTCATCTAACTTTTGATATTGACCAAATACTTATTTTCCACCATGATTTGCAAATAAATTCTTTAAAAATCAGACAATGTGATTTTCTGGATTTTTCCCCCCATTTTGTCTCTCATAGTTGAGGTATACCTATGATGGAAATTACAGGCCTCTCTCATCTAACTTTTGATATTGACCAAATACTTATTTTCCACCATGATTTGCAAATAAATTCTTTAAAAATCAGACAATGTGATTTTCTGGATTTTTCCCCCCATTTTGTCTCTCATAGTTGAGGTATACCTATGATGGAAATTACAGGCCTCTCTCATCTAACTTTTGATATTGACCAAATACTTATTTTCCACCATGATTTGCAAATAAATTCTTTAAAAATCAGACAATGTGATTTTCTGGATTTTTCCCCCCATTTTGTCTCTCATAGTTGAGGTATACCTATGATGGAAATTACAGGCCTCTCTCATCTAACTTTTGATATTGACCAAATACTTATTTTCCACCATGATTTGCAAATAAATTCTTTAAAAATCAGACAATGTGATTTTCTGGATTTTTCCCCCCATTTTGTCTCTCATAGTTGAGGTATACCTATGATGGAAATTACAGGCCTCTCTCATCTTTTTAAGTGGGAGAACTTGCACAATTGATGGCTGACTAAATACTTTTTTGCCCCACTGTATATTGGCGGCTGTTACTAATATGTAATGTATTTTAAGATTTTTAAGTGGGAGAACTTGCACAATTGGTGGCTGACTAAATACTTTTTTGCCCCACTGTATATTGGCGGCTGTTACTAATATGTAATGTATTTTAAGAAACTTTAACTGTAATATTTTTACAATTCAGTAAAAAAATAAAAATTCTCCCTGGCGTTGGAGGGGCAGCTGGGACTGGGCACAGAAGCAGGTTTTGACTGATGGCTAGAGGAGTGGGTTTAGCCCTGATCTACAGGGTGGGTAAGGCTGCCCCAGAGCCCTACCCCCTTCTTCTTCATCTGGCATTTCCTGCAGGTGCAGGGTCTGCTTTTTGGATCAACGGACGCCATTTCAGAACACCAGAGCCCTACCCACCCCCTGGAGTATTTGCAGCGCTTGGCAGACCGTGGGTGGTTTTTGTCTGTCTGTCTGTCTCTCCCCCCCACCCCACCTTCTCTTGCCACCTGTTTGAGTCCTGGCAGCGTGGATGGCATTTCCCTGGGGCTGTGCAGCTTCTTTGCAGCCCAGGAGAAAGCGCAGTTTCTACGAGGAAGGGCCAACAGGGCAGCAGGCATGACCACAGTCCACCTGCTTTGCGTCCAAATAATTGGATCACGACCTTTATTTTCTCTTTTAGGAAAGTTTTCTCTGTTTTGAGCTCCTTTTCTTGTTAGTTTCCCCTGTGGTGGCAGCCTCCTCCGCTCTGCTCTGAATATGAATTCCCCTTAAAATCAGGAACTTGCCTGGAGGGGCATGGATCTAACCCAGAGGTGGCAGAGTTCATGGCACACAGGACCTTATCCGCTTCCTTGGGCTTCACGAGCTCAGAGCAATCCCAGGCTGAAAGGCAAGATGCCACCCGGCTCTGCCCAACTGGTCTCCAAACCAGGGTGGACGCGAGCGACTTGATTCACGGGAAACCCGATCTCCTCTGGTTGGCCTGCAGGCCCCTTACGCCAGCCATTTTTCCTAGGAGGGTCCTGGCCGCTCTGAGCTGGGCCACTGGCAGGGCTCCACGGGTGCGGTCAAGGCCAAGGAAAAGGAAAAGAGCGGTTCCTCTGCTCTTTCTCCCACCGCGCCGGGCTGAAGCTCAGTTCACGCTAGCACTTGATGGTGTCTGGCACCAGGGCCCCTCCAGGCAGCTTTTCAGTTGCTTCACTTCTGACGGTTATTTGGTAAACCAGGAGAGGTGATTTGATTTGTTTTGTTTTATTAATGCACGGGCTGCCCAACCCCGCCCCGACTTGATAAGGAAGAGTTAAAAATAAAGCCATACGGAGGCCACGCCCCTGGAAAAACACCGCCACCGCAGACGTCCCACGGTGGGGGAAGAGCCAGGTTCGAAGGGCCCACTGACATAGGGTCAGGGTGGGGGCTGTACAGATCTCGGAGGGCAAGCCCTGCGAGAAAGAAGGCCACTTCCCGGGACCAGCAGCCCTCCATGCCAGCTAGCCCTGACCTCAGGTTCACTGTGCCATTTCTGGCCAGTGGACTGCCTGCTCCTCTGAAGCAACCACGGCTTTGGGGACTTTGCCTTTCTACCGTGCCGAGGGTCAGATCCCCTCCCGTTGGTCTTCCCCGGAATGCAAGAAAGCTTAGCCTGGATGTCAAGAAATTCTTGGAGTATAACGCTGCCTGATAAGTGGGATTCCTCGCAGGATCAGAATAGCGGAGTCGATAAGTCTGAGAAGTCATTCTATCGTGTTGCTTTCGCAAACTTTGCAAGCTGGTGGTCTTCTCGCAGATATTCCTTTCAATTCCTTGTGAAGTGGGTCGCCAGCTCTTTCTCATAGCTGCCGTCGAGGGATCCGCTGTCCCGCCTCCTGTTCACCCCGTCCTTTTTTTCCGCCAAACTTTCAGAGCCCGTTTAACTGCTCTGGTGTCCCAGCGCTGCAAAATGGCTCTGGCTCTTTGCTCTGTCTGTTGGGCTTCCTCGTGGAATTTCTTCCACTCTCAGTTTCTCCTACAGAAGCTCTTCCTTTGAACTGATAAATCTTTGAGAAATCAGCCCAAGTGTAGCCGTTCACGCCTCCGTCCTTTGACTTCTTCACCAGGGACCCCTGCGTGCTTTCACCTCTGGCAAATGTACAGCAGGAATTGGGGCAGGACACACGCATCCCCGGTTGCAGATTCCTGTCTGTCCACCTTGGTGTCTTCTGGCACCATCAGCAGAAGGTTTTTATTTCCTCGGTGTTCCCTTCGTGGGCTCCATCCACACTCCCCAAATTGGACCTGAGATGCCCCACTGTTTTCCCAGAGGCGACCTCGGTGCAGCCTTTGTCGCATCCCCAGCCCACCGCAGAGGGCACCGAGCTTCCCGCTGCTGTGATCTGGGGCTTGAAGTGGGGTTTTCTCCCGACCCAGGCTTTGCCGTATGCACCGTTTCGGGCACTTGGGTGGCAACCCTGGCCTATTTTGGCTGCCACAGACACACCCACACCTTTGGCTCTGGCAGCTGACTGGGGGCTTAATCTTCCAAAGGGAGAACATGGCTCCCGCATAGAATTCCTCCTCTTTCCATTACTTGGGGGGTCCCATCAAAGCCTTTGTTGTTTATAGGCTAGACCCGTGAACTGAGAGCAACACGGACCCTCCCGTGGTTGGCAGAGCGACTGGTGCTGCGGCTCTTGACTGCGGGGGGGGGCAAGAAAAGGGGAGCCGCCCCCTCGCGCCTGCGAACAGCCCGTTTAGACATGGCAGGAGGGAGGGTCTGACCAAAAGCATGTGAGGGGAGAGAGGGAGCTTGCACACTTGTGTGGAATCAAACCGGAATCAAAAATCGAAATTTTTTCCTCACGCTTGAGGCAGAGGGAGCAAGCGAGAGCATGAACACACGAAAATGTAAAGAGACCGAACAAGAGAGAGGGTGCGCCTGACAAAAGTGAAAAAGACGCGCGAGCGAGAGAGGCCAAGTGAACAGAAGTGCAAGAGGGAGGGAGGGAGGGAGGGAGGATCTACGACTGTCGGGGTGGTGGGGCTGCAATCCAGATCTGCTGGATGAGTGGGGCTTCTAGGGAACGCCACCCCCGGCCTGCGCAGCTCTGGCCATCCCTCAAAACCCTCCCCTTCCTCCCCCGGCGAAGCCCCCTCGGGGTGGGGGGGACGTTTTCCCAGGCAGAACAGATGCTGGCAGTTGGGACAGAGCAGACCACAGGCCGAGGAGAGCCCGTCAGCCGGCTGCCCAGACGTGCCCTCGGGTTAGCCGGGGATAAACTCTCGCCCGCTGGCAGCTGATTTGCTGAGGGTAGTCCCTGTTATCCAGCAAAGGATTCCCTGCCCAGCGCAGTTCCCCAAATGGTTCTGCTGAAAGGAAGCAAGCGCGGGGCTTGGATTCTGACCCTGCGCTTCCTGCGGGAAAAGCGCTGGGAAGAAAAGAAAGCGTGTCCGTATCTGTCTGGGTGCACGTGAGGATGGGGTAAGGCGGAGCCTTGCTTGGATCGGTGACTTCCGAAGAGCTCCTGAAGTCCAGGGGAGTTTTTTGGCCCAGAGGCTGCAGCGGGTGAGCCTCGGGTTCGGGTAGACTCCATTGCCTGAAACCTTCCTGCAAGGGAGGCCGGAGAAGCTCCTCTGACACCAGGCTGCATTTGGCTTCCGGCGATGTCGGGGCAGCCGTGGGCTGGATCCATGCCGCTCTGACGCTCTCTCTCTCCCCCTCCCGCAGGCCAGTGGAAAGGCGGTGCTGATCACGGGCTGTGACAAAGGGTTTGGCCACGCCTTGGCCAGGCATCTTCACGCGAAGGGGTTCACGGTCTTTGCCGGCTGCTTGCTCCTGGTCAGTGGTCGATCCCGTGCCTAGGCTTTCGGGTGCTCTCTGGGAGTCTGTGGGGGCCACACCCCATGCTTCCCCCTCAGTTTTGGGCCCCACGGGAGGCGGGGAGGGGGGAGGGCTGCACTACAAGCCCCATCAGCCCCAGCTCCCAGTGCTGTTGGCCTTGCTGGCTGGGGACTTCTGCGCCTGGCTCGGCCCAGCAGAAGGTGCCCAGCTGAGGAAGAAGGAATGGCAGGGAAAAGTGACAGGGCCGAGCTTGCACATCACCCCTGCCCCCTCAGCGGCTCCCCGGGTAACAGAGGGATCGCCCTGGGCTGCAGCCGCAAGCGCCGGAGAGCAGGTGTTTGAGGTTCCCTTCGCAGCCTGGAGGGCGGAGGGGCCTGCCCTCCCGCGGCCCCACAGTGGTTTTTCTCCCCGTCTGTTGGGCAGGACCAAGGAGGAGATGGTGCCCGAGAGCTGTGCGACCTGGGCTCCGAGCGAATGCACGTCCTCCAGCTGGACGTGCGCTACGAGGTGGAGGTGGCGCGCGCCCTCCAATGTGTGAAGGAGCGCCTGGAGGAACCTGCCCGAGGTGACCGCTATAGCCCGGGCCCTTTCCGCCCGCAGATCACGAGGCTCCCAGCCTCCCACGGGCAGTGGGCGGGGGCTGGACTGGGCTCCACTGGGCAGGGCCCTTGGTTTTCCCCGGGTCTGTTTGGCTGCGCCCTCTTCTTTGGCCTCCGGGCTCTTGAGCCACTCTCTGGGATGAAGCTGGCCCTCGCCCCGTCACAGGGCCCACTTGCAGAGTTGTGGTGGAGCCCGCTGTCCCCGCGCTCCAGCCATCTTGCGCCTGTGATGGCTGCCACAGAGAAGGGCTGGCTGGTGGGCATGAGGCAAAAGGTGCCCCCCCTCCTGAGGAAGTGCACGGGGATGTGGAGGGGGGACATACTGCTTTGATAACACACACACACACACACACAGTTCAGCCCTGGACCGCAAGCAGCAGGGAGGCAGCTGGATTACATCCCTCGGCAGCTTAAAGTGATGCCTGCAGAAGAGACTCGCAGAAGGGTCGTGGCACTGCTCCTGTGTCCCGTGTGCACATGTGGGTCGAGACGTGGGAGGAGGGTGGGGGAGCGCAGGAAGACTCTCTGGCAGACTGAGTTCCCTCAACGCCCCCAAACGGGGCTGGGCAGCCGGTGCTCCCTTGGCTCTGTCAGCAGCCTCCTGCCAGCCCTTCAAGGTAGCCCGGACAGGAAGCCCAAACTGTGAGTCCTAAGG